GTGGGACAGTTTCCCCTTTGGCATATCAAAGCACTGTTCATAAATCAACTTAATACTGCGTATTCATTCCGTCTTCCTCCTGTTGCAGATGCATGGTAGAGAGCTGGGAAAAGAGCTCCAAATGATTATTATCTGGGAAGGTCTTATTAAAAACAACATTTAGAGTACTGAGTTGTTGAACAGGACACAAATCTGGTATTGTTAACCTGTGTTAAATGTTTAGCATGATGCATTAATACAATCAAATAAGATGGATGATCATCACATGATCCACAAGACCGTTTGTACACATATGCACAGGATGAGTAAAGGGAGTGATTCAGTTCAACATCCTTAAGCAGATAAGGCTTAGTTTAATTTAAAAAGGGCAGTCCCTCAATGCCAGTTATAACTGATAATTTTATGACAGGCCTATTATCTATGCCTTCAAGGTAACAAATACCATATTTTAAAGTGAAAAATTTTCTGTGTGCAAAATGCCTCTTCAATTCTTGTTCTCACTGTGATGGTCAGACTCAGCCATGGAAAAGTGTCAGGCAAGTATTTCTCATCCCATATTTATAGAAAAGTACCCAACTCTTGTATATGCTTATCTAATGCCTTCTGCTGAGAGCATGTGAGAGTGGCCTATGTCCATGTAGAAAATCTTGACTACTGGACATAAATAACTCTTTACAGTACAGGTAACTGACAACATTTCCTGTGGGAAAGTTTTCTAACAAATTAATATACTTGGAAATAATATTGCTTTGAAGAAACAAAGGCACTTTAGTGATTTTCTTCATGGATTAAAAACACTTCATAAATCTGTAAGATCTCTGAAAAGACCCAGGAAACAATGTTGTCTGATTTCCTGGACTTTCACAGTATAGGATTGTAATAATGACTCTAGCCACTTAAAAAATATCTTTTGTTTTTCCTTCAGAACTTAGCTGTCTTTATGAACTGTCACCCTGGAGGCTTCAAGTAAGCCTGTTCATTCTCAACAAACATAAGTCTACTTCAAGCAGACAGATAGGGTTTTAGGAAAGTCCTGTGGCCATACGGAACATAGCTAATGTGTACATGATAAGGATTGTAATCTATTTCTCCTCATAATGGCAACAGTGCTGTCTTGTCAGATGATTATTTGTCTTTTTAAATAAAGTGACAATCTAGGGCTCCAGTTATTGAATGTTGTCCATTCTCTACCATAAATCTCTAGTAAATATCAATTTCATCAATTATGTACTGTATGCTTATAATATCTAAAAATAAAAGTTTGATATAAATAAATGTCCTTTAGTGGCAATATACTAAAAAACAGCCCTTTGCTTCCAGACAACCATTAAAATCATTTTAGCATTACAGGCAGCAGCTAAGTATGACGACTGCAAAGGGTTAATACTGCAAAGTCCATTTGGTCTTTCTTTGCACCTATTACTGTGAACTAGGTCCATTGCTAGGTGTTTCTAGGATGCTAACATACATGAAACAGAATTGGTCCAGAAGCAAGCAGAGTCACTTAAGTTTCCCAAAGTCACAGAATATTCTGCACAGAAACTAAGATCCAGTACCATTTCAAATAAGTTTGATGCAGTCAGAAAAAGGTAACTAACTCTGATCTGTACCAACATGTAGGTGACATGAAAATGAGAGAGATGGAGACAGGAAGAATTTCCACAGGACAAGAAATTAGAACATGTAAAGTGCTGAAAGACCGCAATAATTATTTTAAAGCAGTACCAGAAAATTCCACTTTGATTATTTTCTAAAAATCCCCAAATACCAAAACAAAACAAGCAAACAAAATAACTCCTAAGTTTTCTGGCTTCCCAGATGTCAATTCATCCTTCATTTTAAGTAAAAAAAAAAAAAAAAAAAGGAATTGCATAAAAATCTCCAAAGTCACATTAAAAAGTAAAAACATGTAATCTTCCTCTATCCTCATATTGCAAGTTCTGTCCAACTGCCATTTTTAAAAAGTAATCCACATTTGGTGTTCTGTATGACATCACAAGAACATCTCTCTTTTGTAATCAAGTGGACTTTTCTGGTACTGTTTAAATATCTATTCCGGTCCTTTCAGCACTTTCTGTTCAATTCTTCCTGGTGGAATTCTTCTGTTCCATCTCTCATTTTCTGTCCCGTACATGTGGTAACAGATCCGAGTTAGTTTAACCATTTTTCTGACTGCATCAACTTATTGATGGCCTGGATTAGTTTCTGTGCAGAATATCTGTGCCTTTGGGATAACTTAAGTGACTCTGCTTGCTTCTGGGACAATTCTGTTTCAATGTATGTGATCCTAAAGAAGCACCGGCAAAATGGACCGCGTAGTTTCCATAATGGTGCGAAACCAATTGGACTTGCGTATTACCTTTGCCGTGTCCTACTTGTGCTGCTGTAATGCAAATGATTTAATGGTTGCTGGGAGCAAGAGGCTGTTTTTAGTTATGGCCCCAAGGACATTTATTTATATAACTTTTATTTTAATATATAGCCATACAGTGACATATTGAATGAAATTGATATTTTCTAGAGATTTATGTAAGAGTGCAACATTCATAAACTGAGCCCTAGATGTCCCTTTTTTAAAAAGCAAATAATCATCGACAAGAAAGCACTGTTGCCATTATGAGGATAATTAGATTACAATCCTTATCATGACACATTACTAGTTCCGTATGGCCACAGGACTTTCTAAACCTTATTTCTGTGAGTAGACTTATGTTTGTTAGAATGAACCGGCCTTACTTGAGCCTCCAGGGTGACAGTTCTAAGAACGCAAGTTCTGAGGAATAACAAAAAGTATTTTTTAAGTGGTGAAGTCATTCTTCATCCTATAAACTGTGAAAGTCCAGGAAATCAACACAATTGTTTCCTGGGTCCCTTTTCGAAGATCTTACAGATTTATGAGTGTCTTATTAATCATGAGAATCACTAAATGCCTTTGTATTCTTCAAGCAAATCTATTTCCAAGTTATTATTTTTAGAACTTTCCACAGGCATGTTGTTCAGTTACGTAACTGTAAAGGTTATTTTTGTCAGTAAGTCCTAGATTTTTACATGGTACATAGGCCACTCTCATGCTCTCAGCAGCAAGGCAATTAGATACGCTGATACACAGTTGGTTACTTTCTATAAATGGGATGAGAATTACTTGCCTGACCTTTTCCATGGCTGAGTCGACCATCAAGTGAGACAAGGAATTGACGAGGTTTGCCACAGAAATTTTCAGTTAAATAGGTTATTTTTTTTACCTTGAGGCATAGATAATAGGCCTGGCCTAAATTATCGTTATAACTTGCATTGAGGAACCTGCCTTTTTAAATTAATAAGCCTATTCTAGATTTGACCTGAATCACTCCTTACTCAACCTGTGATTGTGGTAAACGTCTGTGATCATGTGCTGATCTCCATCTTAATTTGTTGTATTAAATGATCATGCTAAACTTTACCGGTTACAATCAGATTTGTGTCCGTTCAACACTGTACTTAATGTTTGTTTTTAATCGACGTCCCCAGCATACGAATCTTGGAGCCTTTTCAGCTCTCTCCATGCATCTGCAAGGGAGACGGAAGATACCAGTATTTACAGGTTGATTAATGCAGAGTGGCTTTGATATGCCACAGGGGGAAACTGGCCTTTAATTAGATTA